CACACACACACACAACAACAACAACAACAACAACAAAAACATAATCTCAGAGAGATTGATAGAGCTTTTGATCTGAAATTACCAATCCATTTTTCAAACCTCTTCCTTTTAAATTTCCACCCACTACTTCCAAAACCCCACCCTTAGATGACAAGCTGAAACCAACCTTGTTTACGATATCTGCATCCCTCTTAAATATATAAAAGCGAGGCAATAATAGCAAATTGCATCTTGAGACTATAGCATTATGATGAATGAAATCTAAAGAGAATAAAAGAATAAGTAAAGGTGTTTGCCATCCCTATTGCTAACACAGTTTTTTGAATACATCTCCGTCGTTAACAGGAAGCCACCCACCTTTCTAATGCACTCAAACGAATCATTCACAGCTGGAGAGGGACAACGGACCACATGTGGTAAAGTGTGTTTCTTTTTTTCTGAAAATCAGAGATAATATCACGTGGTGTCACAGATGTCATGGTTCCCATGGTAACTTAATACATTCATTGAATGGTATATCAAGGAAAGGAATGTGAATACGCAGAAACGTGTATGCTGTTACAGCACAAACGCAATGTAGATTCAACAAGTGCCACTTAATAATGACCTTGCCTTAATGACACCACTTGTAAAACACACACAGGAAAAAAAAAAACACTTTAGCAACTAGCCTAACTCACTGCTCTCGGAAGCAACAAAAAAGTGTTGGGCATGAAAAAAATAAATAAAAGAAAATCATATCAATAACTGCACAGCTAATAAATCTGAATAAAAAAAAATAAGGATAAGTGGATTTTTTTTTGCACAGATACAAATTTCCTGTCACCACAGCACCTGCTTCCTGCGAGGACATCATAAGAACTGCAGTATTTTTTTGTGACTACATTAATATCTGTCTTTTATAATCTCCCAAAGGAGAGCTACTTTCATCCATCCCATCACTTTAGCCCAAACACTGCAGGTGTACATTTTTCTGTAATATCTCTTCTATGACAGCTGATGCTTTTAGATATGCCCGTCTGGTCTAATACCACGATGTATGTCTGACTAACTTAGATTGCATCACGCTTTCTAAGAACAGAAAAAGCACGAAAAGTTGACAAAGTCAAGGGCAAAACAAGCAAGGTAAGACACTGCAGAGCTCTTTAAATAGAGCAAGCACACAGAGGTGGGCGTGTGTAGCCTGCAAACACTGAGACACACAAGTGCAGTGGACATGCACACAAACAGAAACACATGCAGTACACTTATCATCTTTACAGTCATTTTGAACACACTCCTTATAGCCCCATCTATAGGAACTACAGCTTTGTGTTTACAATAGACTTCACAAATCTTTATTAAGTTTGCAGCTAATGTTTTATTAGAGAGTGGCAGAATCTAAATCTTCACAGGTCACAGGTTTGCACTAGAAAGGACTTTTCAGGCATGGAAGTAATGTAAAAACAGTCATGTGATGCTGATAGCCTAATCAGCATTTACATCACAAGTGGATCACATGACTGTTTGAATACAGGTGATGGTGAATAAAGGTGAAGCTTAACATTACTTAAATGCCTGAAAACACACACATAAACACACACACAATTGTTTGCAAGCACCTGATGAAGTCCAAAGATTTACTCCTTCACTGTCACATCTTATGTCAGCACTGTTTTCAGCCCCAGGTTATACCTTTGTGCTGACAAGCGTCTGCCCTGTTAATGTTTGCCTTAACAACTGTGCTCACACTGGTTTGTTAGAAGACACAAGGTGTTTTCACCAATGAACCGCAACCCCAATGTTTTCTAGATACAGAGCATCTGATGACCAGGGTACATGTAAAAACAAAGTCTCCTACTCAGTCAAATGGAAACTAGCCAGTCTTTATCCTGTCAGTTGTTTGTGTGATGCTGGATTGCCAAAAATGTATGAATGAAGTGTATTATTTCGTGCTGTTTGCTACAACTGTGGAAAGTACCTGTTTACCTGATTATGTGTGAGAACACCTACACGGCAAACAACCTGACTGAACCTCACTGAGATAATTCTGTCTCTTAAAAACCACAAAACCCTGTCAGTAAACCGCCCATTAGAAACCAGTGTTCCCACTTCCTCTTTACATTTGTATTGTGTTTACATAAGCACGCGGACAAGAACAGCACTTTTTTCAAACTATGCCATTAAAACAGATGCAGGCAAACAAAGAGCCGTGCTGGTACTTCTACACGTGAACACAAAGGTACAAAAAGCCTGTGCATGCAGTATTGTTAAAGAAACGCTGCTACCCTGCCAAATGCCTCCCCTACAAACACAGACAAAGGACTAGTTGCTGTATTGTTATCTATATGATTTTAGCCTGCGTGCTCCCTCTCTCTCTCTCTGGTGTGGTGTGAAGACTGTATCTTGGGGAATTAGAAGTAGGACGAGTCAGTGGATGCACTCATTTCATATAATATCACTGTAGGGGATCACAGCCAAGGACATTCTTACTTCAAATTGCCATGGTAGGGACTTTCAGATATAAAGAATTAATCAGATTTTAAGCAAAATGGGATTATAAAGAAGAGACAGCACAGGTCAGCTAAGCTGTGATTCATGAGGCTAAAATACATCTCTAAAGAACTTGTTACGCATGGACATCAGGGGTTCATACCCTACATTTGGGAAAATTAAAAAAGCAATTAATGGCGGGAAAATGAGGATGAAGTATATGTAGTATAAATGAAATATGACTAAGCTGTAATGATACATAAAAATAGCTTGGCCTAGTTTTATTTCATGGGTCTATAGAGTAGCTGAATAGCGCCTTTGGTCTGTCCTTTCTGTCACTCATAAAATTATTTTATCACTGATATAAAGTGCCCTGAGACTTTTTCACACGTGAACCATAGATAATGTCATGTGAATCAGGTCAAGACACTGTCTGAAGCTGTCCTTTCTCGCATGTGACAAAGAGCCGGAGCTAGATTGCGTCAGCTAATGGGAATACATTGTTGAGTTGCAATGAGCAATGGGAGTACAGGAGGCCAGACAACTACTCAGTAGCTGTAAATTTACTGGACTAAAGGCACTATCGGCCCAACTTTGCACAACTGGACTCACATGTATTTTGTACTAGGGAACTGGCAGGTTAAAGACTGATTAATGGGCAGTCTCCCTGAGTCAGACATTAGTATTTTCCCGTGCACTTCCTCTTAATAATGTCTAGAAAAATCTGCTGCAGGGCACATGTGAAAACAACTTTAGTAAGGATTTTGGGCCCAGTGCCTACCAGCTCACCAAAAGTGCACCTTGAAATAGATTCTGTCCAAATTAACACACAGATCTGGTGACTGTGAAGATGATAGTGCATTAGATTTTTGGAGGTTAAACGAAATTAGTCTTAATGGAGCTTTTAGGATGATGACCTTGGCTTTCTTGTGGTGCCTGGTGTTTTGGCTCCTTGGTAGACACAAGGACAGCCTAGCTGCTTGCCGACAGTGCAGAGACATACTGAGCTTCTTTATCTGGAAAGCTGATATATAAGAAGGGGTATGTGACACTGTGTGAGATTAGGACTTCAGAATGGTATAACCGTGCCTGCTTTTCACCCTTTTTCCTTGATATGAGGCAATATATCATAACACAAGCATATATATTCTCTACTATTCATCTGCATCTCAACATTGATTTTTCTGCACAAGAGCCTGAATGATTACCAGTAGCAATGAGGCTTTGTTTGTGGGGCGCTGTTCAAAACAGTGTGGTTGCAAAGTGCTGTACAGAAAGCAGGACAATAGATCACAATCCAAACTCAAAAAGAAAAGCAAACACAGTTAAAATAACAATATATGAAAGCACGGCATAAAACCTGGACAGACAGACTATGAGAGGTAGGCTAAGTAATGAATTAATTAACGATAAGAAGAAATGGATGATAAAGAAATAATATTGTATTATTTATTTAAAAACAACTTTTGGTTAAAGTAAGCTTTGAAGAGTAATTTAAAAGTAGATGCAGAGTTTGTTAGGCTTTAATATGTTCACAAAACAAGCAAAATTACTACCACAGGCAACAAGAAATTCTTCTTTGTGTCTTTCCCCCCTGCTTTTTAAAATATTGCAAACAGAAAAATAAAGGTTAGGGACATGACACATTAGCTATTCCAAATAAATGTGCAACCCACTCCTACATTACCCTTGTCTCATTTGCTTATTAATATTCCAAACAGCCTCTCGTGTTTCCATCAAGCAACCAGAATGCAGCTGAATTAGTTGATTTCAGGCACCTGTTTACATCAGACACTCAGGAGCATTTAGGCAGATGACCCACAGGTCACACTTTATAATCTAATCCCTGGCTCCCATCCTATATAAATAATAAATACACGCATAGCTTAATGCAGCCCTGAGCAGTTACAGTCTATTAATTTTACAGCTACATATTGGGCAATCCAATATATACCACCCACTCACCTCACAGCTAGAGGTGTGATTAATATAAAGACTGGTCAAAATAATATAAACACCTGTCAGCATAACACAAAGGAGCTGAACAGCATCACAAATAATCATAAAGCTGGATCACAATATATAGGCTACCTAATTACATGCAATTAGCTGCACTTTTACTGCGCAGTCCTCTGAAGTGTTATAATTGCTCTGAGTTCGGTTATTTTTAATAAGCTTCTTTTCCTTTGAAAACAGACAGGAAGCTGGGCTAGCTGTGTTAGATGGGGCTGCCACTGGGTAAATGTATTGCAGATCTAACAGCGGGTTCAAATCAGATAGCATCCACCTCTGCACACATACGAAAGAGAGAGAGAAAAAAAGCATGCATATTAATTTTGCCACTAATGAAACTGAAACTGAAAGGGATGCTAATAATGATAATTATATTTTTGTTCATACCCTGGTTAGACTTTCGTGATGGTCATACCTTTTAAACGACTTGGCCTTGCACACCTACGAGAAACAAGCATTGAGACTTGGTTTAATACAGTGCAGCTACACAGCTACAAGGAAACGCAAAGAAAAGTAAATACTACAGTAACTGGAGTTTTCGCCGTTACTCTTATGTTAATGTAACGGATCAGAGCCAGAGCCGCAGGTCACAGCTCAGTCCTCGGCAAATAAAAGAGGAAAGCATCTCAACCTGTTGCTTTTGAGGAAAGCTGTTTGTCGGTTTTGCAGCCACTCAGAGCGACAATACCAGGAAACATGAGGCGGCAGCTGCTGTTGTGAGGAGGGCTGGCCTCGCGGTAATGACTGGAGTCAGGTAACCGCCGGACAGACCGACTCTGGTCCTCCTCACACACGCATACACTCCAAAAAAGCGGGTTTGGAAGAGCAGGAGAGCGCCGAAAGGCAGGACTCTTTCACTTTTTCAAGCGCTTTCTGTTTGACGAGGACTTTATTTTCTTTCAAAGTAAAAAGTTTCACACATTTGACGACGCGTCGTCCAGCCTCCATGTGACGACTGTCACATTTTGGGGCCAGCTCCGCGCTGAAGCTACTCAGGTGTACAGTTACACTACCCGGGGAGTTTGTGTCGCATTTTTTGTAACTCTTCTTGCTCTCTTCATAAAATTGATTGAGCCGGAAGAAGGGTCACTTTTTTTTCTCCCCGCATTTTTTTTTTAACTTTTCTATTTTGTGTAATTCAGCTTTCCCACCGTGTTGGACTTATAATATCATCAAGCGGGCAAGCCTGAGCTGGTGAGTAACAGCGTAATGTTTTCATTTTCCTCGTGAATACTCTTTGCATGATTTGCAACAAGTATTTGGTGTACGTGGTCGGTTGACACCTTTTGAGTTTGAGCCAAGAGGTGGAAGTGAGCCCAGCCACAGTGTTGGGACAGCCCATGCTGCTGTTGACTTGTCTGACCTCTGTTAAGCATTCTACATTAATGAGTTACCTTTTGATTAAATCCATTAAAAAATAATTTTAAAAGGGTCGCATATGTTATTTTTTTCGGACCCTCTTTAGTTTCTTTAATCCTGATCAAAAACATTAATACAACTCACAGAGAAAATTTTGGTCCTGCATATTAGGACTTTATCATTTAACCCCCCACCAAAAAAACCCCAACTTTTCACAGTTAAGTATCAGACTATTTGCGTCTCTGTTCTCCAATATCTTTCTATCAGCTTTGAGAGATAGGGTAATTACGCCCATGAGGCACAAGTCTGCAGTTCATTTAGAGTAGCTTCAAGAAATGTGGTTTGAGATAGAGGCTCCATCTTTTTGCATGTTTGTAGTTATTGTTGCAGCTGCATGTCACCAGCGGTGCTCGCAGACACCCCGCACACGGATACACAGCAGGCAGATTTTAAGGTGTGCATATCAGATCAACCACACATTTGTTTTTCTCGCTCTCATGACTCACTAACTTACAGCGGAACACATTGCTGTTTCATCATTTTCGCCAACAGCCATGCAGGATCTGTGTTCTGAGTTTCGCTTTTAAACAGCCAGTATTTAACTTGCAGCCTATCAAACAAAGGCTGCTTAGCATGCAGCTGAGTATACTGATTTACAAGCCGAGCGCCCAGCAGGAGCTCCAGACATGGCTCGTCTTCTGTCAGGTTGAAGGACTGAGGGCCTTGAGGCCATTTGGAGAAAGAAGGAGACTGAAATGTCAACCAAGAGCAAGTTGTTCTGCATTCAGCTGCTGTCACATTTTCATCTGTTTGATTCCAACTTGTGTTTTTCTGCTCTTGTACAGTGACAGTTTTATTTTTATCTTAAATAACCATTAAACTCGCTAATATCTTCTGTGAGAAGCCAGACAGCACATCTGTCTAAGATAGCCTTCGAATGTTCCACATTATGTGGACACAAATGAAACATGCATGAAGGGTATTTTTTAATTTCATACTTTTAATGGTGTGGATGTCTTTGTTGCATTTTGGCTGTCACAGCAGTCTCTCTTGCTTTGTGCCATAGTAATAAAGCCAACTCCTGTGTAGCAAAAAGTGACGGCCTGTTTGTTGTTGTTCAGCTGAAAAGTTTTATCTTTGATGCACAAACAATATACCATAGCAGCCAGATCGACATGCACGTCGCTTGCAGAGCATTTAGATTTTATATGAATCTGCAGAAATCTACACAAATGTGCAAAAAGGAAGAGAGAGCGGGCTGTTAAAGGCAGATAAAAGGACAGGAGAGACTGTGTGGTCGTCAGCACCACCAATCAGCAAGAGTTTTATCTTTTCAAATCCTGTTGAAAAGAGCATTGGAGAGTTAGACTCTGACAAGGCAGAGGGAGATTAAAAAACAGAAAGATAAAGGGGAGGAGACAAAAGTGTAGCTGGGAGTGATGAAACCCACCACTTCTTTGCTTGGCAAACTGGGTGATGGATGAATTTCCAGCAGGAGGGAAATTCCTCACTGTCAAATCGCCTCCAGCATTTCTCCGTGAAAGTCTGTCCATCCCTGGTTTAAGTGAGATTGGATTTACACATTTCTTTGCCCCTCACTGAAGCATTGACACCAGAAACCAACTCCTCCATGATTGTTAGCACATTGTCAAATTTTAGCTGAGCTTTTTACACAAGTGCAACTTTTTCCATTAAAAGTATGTTCTGTGGAGCTTTGCCTGATTAATGATTCCCTCTGCTCACTGTGTGGTACTGCTTGGGCGTACTACCTCACACACACTCTGTGCCTCATGCTTCTATCTCAGTGTGCAAAATGCACATCTTGCTTCAGGTTATTTTTTTGGCTAAACAGAGAATTAGACTCAGATTGCAGAGCATGGGCAGAGCTGGTTCCTGTGCAAACAACAGATTACTATGATAATGGTCACATGTAAAGCTTTTTTTTAGTCTTTCCTATTGCGACAGAAAGGTCTCAGCATTCTAGTATTATTTGGTTTAGGTTTCATTTGCCAGTATTTAAATTTTAGCAACTGGAATTCGAATTTTAGGCAAAGCTGTTGTGTCCCACTATGACTTTATGACTCATACTGCAGTTCCTCCACCAATTAGGTATTGCATCAAAGACACCGTACATGGATAGATTCTTACTTAGTTCCTAATATGGGCCAAGCTTTAAAACAGAACTTAAAAGCGTCCCTGGTTAGAGCCTTCCAGCTTTTTGCACTGCTATGTTTTTAAAACTTGACATGCCCTGTTTGTAACACAGACTTTCTTGTTAGAAATCTTTTTGCCCAAGCCAGCATAACCTTCAAGATATAACCTAGTTTAACTTTTCCGATTTTAGTAGTGAAGATATTGATTTGTGTAAAAGGATGGATTCTCCCTTTAAGAAGAGTTAATCATAGAATATTGTTTCCTAGTTTGCTTACATGACCTTGGAGGATGTTTCAGCGATATGTCACCATGTCACTTCGAAGATGCCTCACATGGCAGCCATTCCCTACTGAGCTACCAACAGTGGTATAAGATTCATCTTTTTGTCAGGTCTCTTTAGCTTGTCTTGTTTAGGCACAGACGACTGTTTTTTTCTTCAAATCAACGCCTGTGTGTGGTATTCCTTTCATTTGCAATAATAATGACTTAAAGCCTCAGAAAATCCTCGCTGACAGTACGAACACGGAGGGGGTGGATGGAAAAACATTTACTATCTTCAGTTTACTGGGTAAAGAGTAAAGATCCCTTCTTTTGTCTGCACAAGAAAAGTATTAATCAAGCGGTCAAGGATTAGGGAGTTAAGTAATGTGTTATGGCAGCGAAGGAGTCTGAGGAGATAACAAGAAATATCAGAGCTGCCTGAAAGCTGTCTGAATACTTTAGCTTCTTAGCTTGCCAGCATTTAAAACATCCCTCTAATGCATTTCTTTTTAAATTGTGGTGTAAGATTGCAGTCTTCATTAAGATGTCACCTGTGCCTTTGTGGCTTTTATCATATATTAAACGTTGGAGGAAAGTCAACTTGTAAAATTCAAATTTATACATAGAAAAGGAATGTTAATGAACCGCCACAGGATAATCTGGCCTTTTTGATGGACATACAATGGTAATTAACAGCAAATTAAGCTGCTGCTTGTGCAAAACTGTTGATCATTTAAGTACATTTTCAAGCAAAAATCCAAAAAGGTTATCTGAATCAGTGTCTCAGTTGTGATTTTTCTTTGTGTTACTCTTTATATGATAATAAATTAACAACACAAGCGCTCCATGACAAACCTTGTGCTTTTAGAAATGTGGGAGGGTGATACGAACCAAACAACTGATCAATAATGGAGAACAATGAGAGTAACTGCTAGCTGCAGCTCTGTTCCAGAAACTAGAATGATTTGGTGTTTCTATCTGCAAATGAAACAAAGATGATAACATAAGTAATACAACCACAAGACATCAGAAAAAACAAAACAAAAAAAAGCCCACAGTTGTGGTTACTAGGTTACAAAGTCAGGTTGGCCATCAAGCAATGCACAGATGTAACAAAAGAATCCCACTAATGCACACTGTACGCAACAATTACTCTGAACAATGTGGTAATCTTTATCTGAAGTATTGGATGTTTAAAACACTGGAATAGCATGGTTGCAAAACAGGAACTGGATATGTTTTAGATTATGTGCACTAAAGTGGTTTAACAAAACAGCCCAATTAAAAAAAACAAAACTGAAAGGACTGTGTCCACATTTTTGGTGAGTCTGTGTCTTTGTGGTGGGAGAAGCTGACGTCTTCTCACATTTTTGTGATTCCAGAAATCTGTCTAATGTTAGGCATCCTTCCATAGCTGCAGCCAATGTGTGATGCTCTTGTCTAGTCAATTATATGGTAAACCACATCTTCTCACTGGCACTTCACAACTAATTTTGGAAGAACCTCACCTGTAGCTGAATTGCACAAACTGCCAGTGACAGATCTACATCCCACACTGAAAATATAACTGATGTACCAAGCATAGTTTGTCTGTAGGGGCTTGGTGGCTGTGGTTTAGTCCTGGCAGAAATGCTTATTGCAATCACAGCATAAACACGGTATTTTCATCATCAGATGGGGTTGACATGTGTTGTTTTCTTTTGCTGCCTAGAGGTATGTGTCCTTGTCCACTATTCAGTAAAATATAATTAGTACAACTACTGCTTGGTCAAGAAAGGTCCTATGCTCTTACGTCTGCCCCTCCCAGTAAAGAAAGGTCCAGAACACATGATGATGTCTGTACCTGGAAACCCATCCATATTACTTGTTCCCTTATTATTGAAGTTTACTTTGTATAATTGTTTGCAGTCACGAGTTTTTATACCAATTAATGTTCAACATGTTGTTTTGAAGTTGCATTTAAACCCCTTTTC